GCTCCGTCACCCTCAGAGGGAAGAAGTTCTTCCTCATGTTCAGACGGAACTTCCTCTGCTTCAGTTTGTGCCCATTGCCCCTTGTCCTGTCACTGGGCACCACTGAAAAGAGTCTGGCCCCATCCTCCTGACACCCACCCTTCAGGTATTTATAAGCATTTATTAGGTCCCCTCTCAGCCTTCTCTTCTCCAGGATAAACAAGCCCAGCTCCCTCAGCCTCTCCTTGTAGGAGAGATGCTCCAGTCCCCTCATCATCCTCATAGCCCTCTGCTGGACTCTCTCCAGTAGCTCCTCATCTTTGTTGAACTAGGGAGCCCAGAACTGGACTTACGATAGAGAGAGAGCAACCCAGGCCAAGAAGTCACTGGTTTATTGGTGGGGGATGGCAACTCCCACCAATATCACACCACACTGAGCTATTCTTTGTGACTGATAACAGACCCCCAAAGCAACAAGGTTGGATTTGCCAAGTCATTTAGCTGTCTAAATACCCTTGGGTTCAAAGAGAAGACCTGTCCTTCGGCAGCAAGGATGCTTCTCCCGGACAGCACTGTGCTCCCTGCTATGTCTGTAAGGATTTTGCCTCCAAAGTCAGTGATAAGGAAGAAAGCAAACTAGTGCAATCTGAGATGAAGAGCCTCTTTTTTTTCCCCCCTTCCAACAGAGAGTTTCATTCATTTTGATTGCTCAGCAATAAAATCTGCTTCCATGGGTGGGCTGAGCAGGAGGGCCAGAAGCACTGAGCTGTGCCACGGGGCGGGCAGCAGCCGGAGCCGGGGCTGGAGCACACGCTCGAGTGAGCCAAAAGGCAAGCGGATTTTCCTGCTATTGTTTGCCCTTCACATGCTGAATCTCTAGGGCAATGGACATAACACCCTGCTCTTTCCCCTGAGCCTGCGAAACAGCCCAAAGCACGAGAAACACACAGGCACGGGGAGACAAAGGGCGCAGCCCTTTGTAGGTGTTTCCCATGCCTGTTCCCACAGATGGTGGAGCTTCTGGGCTCTGTGTGGACCTCCACCTGCCCCACACTGCTGCGAGACCTGGCTGGACTTTTACACCCCACGCGATGCTCTGCCCCAGCTGCCAGGCTGCTACAAGGATAAATGCATCACGTTTAGCTCCTTTAGCTCTTCCACTAACGTGGGAACCAAAGAAGGATACAGCTTGCAAACAAGCCAGATCCTGGGACAGTTTCTTCTGACCATCTGTGTTGCAAGCTGCTGGTCGACTCTATAAGAAGCCACTTTTTTGTCTTCAATCCACTACACGGTCAGTCACTGGCGTTTTGTTTCCCCATAGGATGGGGGAGCCTCATGTGCTATAAGGGACTATTGC